ATTTCATCAGGTTGTAATCAGTTGATGGGAATCTGTGATAAAGATTGTTTTGCTCCACTTATTGTTTTTGTTTTGTTCAAATTTATCAAGGGAACATCATCTGATTATGTTTTAGATTACAACTGTAAATATAACGATGCTTTTGCCTGAGTTACTCAGGATAACAGTACAGACATAAAACAGTCAGATCAATATTGTCTATCATATCATTAAACTTTCTCAAAGTAAAAAAAGTTTGAAATAATTCAGCGGTGTGAAGGATAACATTTGATAATGTTAAAGATTGAGTTCAAGTTTCACAAAGGTTATATTACAACTGATATTCTTCTTGAAAGAACTTTATTAGTACCGTATGTACGGTATCAGCTTTGACTAGTAGGATCTTCTTCAACCTAATGTACAATCTGCCTACAGCACTGATTATTTGTATTCGCCCTGAAGCATCACAATTATTAGCTGAAGGTTAATTGCATTTAAAGTGATTAACAATGCTGTGAGATTTCTCAAGGCAGGTGAAGTCATGGAACAGAGTTTATTGTCGTTCTAAGCTCTCCCGGATAATGATACTTAGTAGTGCAATTTGTTTCTCTAGAATCTATCTTGTTTCTGGTGAAATCTCTTGCGTCCAGTGTATCTTTCAGTCTTCCCAGGATGATATGCCTGGGGTAGGCAGAAGAATGATAATGTTATCCTATATCCAGTGAGATAGCTCTTCACATTTTTGAGTTTGGCATAGGATCTGTCCGATTTTTGATGTGCCTGACTCGTGAAACCCTCGTAGTCTTGTGTTTATCTACACTGCCTCCAGTCATCAAATCACTTAAGGTATAGAAGTCTACAAAATGAGTGCTCTCTTTCTTACTCATTTCACCCAACTCCTCAGGATCTATGATGAGTTCTCTTGAGATGTTGTTTTGTACACTCATTGGTTCTCACAGCATGAAGGCATCCCGTGTTAATGGCGACTTAAAAATGGCTAAAATTTCAATGTGCTGGTGGTTGCTCACTGGATTACCAGAGAAGATTATTAAATCCAGTTAACAATTTTGAGAGTCCACTTTCATTCCATCCGCTCTCGCATATTCTTGTTGCTTCTATAACAAATCTCCACCATCATCCTGCAATCTGAGCAAGCTTGCCATCCTCAAGCAGGCTTCAGATATTGCATGTCTGTATACTTACTTTTGGTTTCATCGAAAGAAGACTTATCCATTAATTGAGTTCCTGAAGGCTTTCACCCACCGGCGTCAGTTGTGTTTGATATTAAGATGTCTTTCTGAGTACACTGAATAATAAGGTGACTCCATCTGTGCTTCGAATTATCCCTTAGCGATGAGGTTGCTTTTTTTAAAGGGGTGTAATTGCTTTCCCCATCCTCGATCTTCCCTCCTTTCTGAGCTTTGGAATGGCTAATAAACTAGGCGAGGTTGGTAATCATAGTAATCAATGTTTTATCTTCTGCAATCCTGAATTATAAAAACCTGAATAACGAAAGGATTATTCGTTTTATGTGAAAATATTTATGCGTTCATGTTGCGGACATAGGAGGGTTTACGTATGAACTCTAAATTCCAGTCAGTCAAACTACCTAAGTATATACAATCTCAACTTTTATTACCACACTGATCGCTTTGTGATCAAAGTTACTGAATTTATCATAAAGTTCTTGTGTGAATTTTGTTAACATCACAGTGCAACACTCATTCAGTAATAAGTTAAAGTTTCTGCTAGAATGCGCTAAGCTATGACCTGAAAATAATTAAGTCCTCATTACGCAAATAACAGGTAAACTACAGTAGATCTTATATTACGTTTTGTTTCAGCAAGGGAATTCTAGATCAATTAAATTACGTTTAATTTTACTAGTCACGCTTTAAACGTCTCTGCTATTTCTTAATAGGCTGAAAATTTTCCAATTTAAAGTGTACTGACCTTAAGTAGTTGGTAATAATTGACCTTGAGCTAAAATATCATGCATTCATCGTTTTCTGTTAAATTTTTATTTGTTAGTTACCTTGAATGGTGTACTGTCTTAGTGTTGAGTCACAGCTTCTTACTAATGGAAGAAAATCACAGGACATAACCAAAAATATTACTTGTTCTATTGATAAAAATCATGCGTACTTACTTTATAAGTAAGAGTCTGCATTCATTTTGACTAGCGTACATGCTTATATCCAAGTCTTTTTGCAGTACATAAATGACTGCATAAAAAATACGCATATACAGAGTATGTGCGTCGGTGGCACAGTGGTTAGGACTCTCGCCGATCATGCACATGATCCGAGGTTCGACCCTCTGCCGGCGCACAACTGATATCTGCCAACACACTCCATTACCTCGCTAAGCCAGAAATAATGCTGGTAAAGAGGGAAGGTTAGGCATGGGGATAGCAACCCCATCCTGTAAAAATTAACACTGCTATAGAAACTTCAAGCCACTAGCTTGAGGCCTTTTTGTTCCCCTGGGGAACGTGAAGGAAATAAAAAAAGGCGACTATGTAATAATGTAATGTCCCTTTCCCTATCGAAAAGAATATTTAGTCTGTCTTGTTGTTGACTATTTGGGTCCTCGAGACTCTAAGAACCAAATACCTGGAGACTGTCGTTCATATATCTAGAAATCGTCCTTAATGGCGCATATACCTTCCCTCATTATAAACTCTCAGGTCTATTAATTCTCATTAATCTCTACGTGAATCATTTCTTCCTTCTTACATTTCCGTTTATCTTAGTTTTATCTTTTCCTGACTTTATTTGTGGTTTATGAAGTGTGGTAAGTTGAAATGCTGCACTTTCGTGTATAGGTTGTACCTTGTCAATTCATTTGTGTTCAGTTGACTAGTCCTGCTAGAATAATAATACTAATTAGTAAATGTAATGACATCCTTTTCTAGTTGAAGCTTCAGTGAATTCTCCAAGGGAAGTGGATAAATTATGGAATGAAGCCAATAGGCAAATACTTTTTGAATGCAACGTTTTGTTTTATTTCTCTAATCAGCTATTCATATAATTAATGGAGGATTTCATACCCTAGAAATATATTGTGCCTAATGAATTTATGCTTTAAAATTAAAGAGTTAGTCAAGTGTAAATTTGGCATTTTTATGTTATTTGGTAAAGTGAATAAGAGAGCTTAAAAGACAAACAAAAGCTGAATTATCTTACTGAATAGAAAAGCTTTCATTAGATGGAATTTGTTAAAGGTGATAGGAATCAGGGAAACTACCCGGATTTTATTCATATTCACGAAATTGGATCAAAGAAATACAAGAGATGAAAATCATTTGAACCTGAATCTTGTTGATCGAGAACGCATTGTGTCATGGTTGTACTTGGAAACAAATGAAATAAGTTATGTCGTGAATTTTTCCAGTGAAGGTAGTATACTGATATTACTTACAGGCTAACATGTTGTTCTACCTCAGTTAGTCTTAAGCTAAATCCCTGTAAGTGACAGACTGTTAAAAGCTTTCCTAGACACAGACGGGACATACAAAATCTGATACAGCTCTGTGATTATAGTAACATCGAGGGTAATAGGTCAGAAACTAAACTGAGTGTTAAATTTCTCGGATAAAGTCTTTTCTCCAATCTATCCTGATCGTCTTACATTTTGTTAGTTTCTAGAAGAATATATTGTCTGACCTCCCAATTAAGGAAGTTAAGGGTATCACTCAGCGTGTACCTTTACATTTTGTATGGTTTGTATTCTGGCCTCTCTTCTTTATTGCTCTGTATAATCTTAAAGGGCTTAAAAGTACATAAAAAGGAATTTGTTACATTGAGAACATTGAAAGCTATGGTGTGCTGTTAATATTATTCTGGACACACACACACACCTGAACTCATGTAAAATATTGGCAAAAGTGTTGTTGGACTCTGAGCACTGTTTTTATTTACAAATTTCCTCTTCAATTTCATCAATCAGGATTGAACGCAAAAATGAGAAACCTGATGCTTATGCGGCTAAATATAAAAAACTCAGCGACACCTTATTTGGCACGCATTTTAAGTGATGAAGAAAGTGTTAAGCATGAAACTAATAACTTCCTGAAAAACGTAATAAGGGAACAAAGTCTTATAATAGTGGTATTACCAGGCATCTCATTGATACGGGTCATGCGGTGGAAATCGTGAAATCCTTTAAAATTATCAACGGATAAAGGAGCTTGATTCTCCTCAAGTTTGCCGAAGCAATTCCTATCAAACGATTGAAACCCGATTTATGTATTCATAAAAAAGCAGTTATCAGTCTTTTCTTGCCCTGGTAACGCGATGTCTTTATCCTGTCTTTCATTCGACTGCGTAATTTTCGACTTTAAACTCATCCCTCTGATATAGTGTAATTTTATTTGTCTCTTGTTTCTATGATTTCAGTTGAACTCAGTATATTTTTACCTAATTTATTAGCCACTCATCATCTTACGCATCTCTCGTCTTTATTACGTAACTCCCTTACCACTGTACGCATACATTTACTTTGTTTAAACTTGAACTCCCTGTGTGAAAACTACATATAAGCGTAATTTTCTGATCACTGTTCACTAATTCCAGAACCTACTGTAAACTAACATCATGAAAAATTTGCAAGTACGTTAAAACTTTTCTGTACATAAACTTAATAATTTATTTAGGCTGTAAGCAGCTGATGAGAATCCAAAGAAATAAATAAATGATGGCGCCATATTATTCTGCACAAACCACTGTTGTCTTTGCTTTATTCAAAAAGCATAATAAAATGACCCATTTCATTCCTCCTGTCACTTATATACTGTTGTCAGTATTCCTTTAATTCATTATTCATTTTTACATTTATGTCTTAGTGACATTATCATCGCTACAAATGTCGTAAAGCGTAATACTTATTTTAACCCTCACTATTTAGTGTGAAGCATAGCTATATACTGTGCGTTGAGAATTCCATACTTTATGAATAGTTCTGTTTGGAATAAAGCTGCCATTATTATTTTTCACTTTTTTTCTATTATTGTTTATCAGCCAAGCAAAGGGATGGAAGTAAAAAAATTCGAAGACGAACTTGTAAAAGGATTACCTCAACGACTGAGTCATCCACTAGTGCAGGAGTTAGCCAAGAGAAGCCTGAACGAAAAAAGCGTAAAAGGAAAACCAAAGAAAAACAATCAGAGGTGATGAACAAGCCAGAGAAAAAGCAAAATATTCTGCAAACTATGGAATACGTTGTAAGTGGTTTACGTACTTTGGGAGTTACATAGTTTTAGTCATCTTCGTTGTATAATTATATTAAATAGTATCTGTTAAAACACGATATGCCTTTTCAAAAAATGTACACTGCAATATAAAATAAAAGATGTCGTTTTGTCTACTAATCGTACAGCATGGATATTTTTAGTGGTTGTTGGCTGACATTGATCTTATCTGATGTTTCCTTCCACAAGGTTGCAAGTGTATCCATTTTTCCGGTTCCAGTGAATGGATTTGTCTTTTATATGACGTAGGTTGAAACCTACAGCATGAAGTTAGTTAAAGGCATGGATACAATGACTAGCCTGGATGCATTCCAAAGATTTTTCTGTCATTTTTGCCTTAATCCTTTCGATTTACCCCTTTCTGTTTCGCTGCTTCTAACCTGACAGTCATGTCCTCATTTTTTCAGTGATTTTCTTCGTAACTGAAGTTTACCCGTGGTATTTGGGTTTAGATTCTCATTTACGCTTTCTAAATAAAAAAACCCCATTAATTTCCACATCTTATAAGTGAGAGATTTGTGTGTACTTTCTAATCATAAGTTTTTTTACTGGCAGTCATACGTTTTGGAAATTCACTAATTGTGGTTCATTTTAGTTTATGCTATTCTCATAAGCTTTGCTGATCCTCCTAAATCTTACTAGTTATCAAAAGATTTTCACCTCATATCTTACCTTAAAGAGCTAAAGGCTTTTTATATAATAGAGCCGTTATTTTTGGTCACATTATTTCCTGTATTTTGTGTATTGCTCTTAGTTGTGACAAATTTTGTAGACTACGAGCATAATTAGTGGCATACCTCGTACATCACTGATGAACACGATGATAAACAGGGATCTAAATAACTAGAAAGCAGTAAGCTGTAGTCCGTATATCAAATGATGAGAACTCCTCATATCAACACCTTTTTATTTATTCTCCTTTGGACAGGATGAATAAGAATATATAACTTTATCCGCTTAGAAAGCGAAACAACGCCTTCTTTATTTAATACACTACAGGAAGAGAAACATTAAAAAGTCTATTATTAAATAAGTTTTCCCTATCGTTTTTGTCAACAAGGTTCTACTTACAATCTTTTGCCTATAGACAGAGTAGGAGCACTTTAGATGCTGCAGCCGTCCCTCACAACAGTATCATCTCATCATTAGATAAAGGTGCCGAATACGTCCGCTGCACGTTTCTCGTCTTCACTTCTGCTTTCGACTCTGTACCTAGAAGTCTCTTGCTAAATAAGCTGTCTACGACACAAACTGAGTCCTGGGTCACTAACTGGTTGCTTTCCTACTTCCCTAACAGAATGCAGTACACTATATACAAAGGTAAATCCTTATCTGCTATGCTCAATGAAGCTGGTGTCCCCCAAGGTGCTGTACTCTCCCCACTTCTCTTTTCCTTCTTTCTACACGACTACCATCGTCAAATGACATTAATTTTGTCAAATATGCTGATGACCTAACTGTATTTTTGCCTGTCAGATGTCAAAGTGACTGCTCCAAACTAAATGGGTTTTTATCAGAAATCAGCCAGTGGTCCAAGGAAAACGGTCTAACCTTAAACCCCTCTAAACGTCAAACAATCAATTTCACCTGTAGGCATAAATCTGACCTAAACAAACTGGTTAGCACTCACGAGGTGTGCAACATTGATGGCACTGAAATAGAAACCAAGTTGGAAATTAAACATCTTGGCGTCATTCTATCTGCTGATCTTTCCTGGTCGTCTTGATGAGTTCTAAGGAAGAAATATTCCGTCTTACCTTCTACATCAAGAAGTTAAGACATTCTGATATAACCCAACTCTTACTCCTACAATTCGTTAACTCTCGCATTCTGCCAGTTATTCTCTATTGTTCCCCCTTAGTTTTTCCTGGGCTATTGAAGAAGACTATACCTTATTGCGCAGGATGTTAAAGGTTGTCAGCAGCTACGTAAGCAACGGGCCACTTAACCAGCTTGTTAATATTCTGGTCGACAGGCACTTGAACTCATGTAAAAAATCCATGCAAAATCCATTTTACCCAACCCACGCCACCCTCTTCATTCACAACTCTACCCTTGTATCTCTTCAGACAAAACCAGAAGCGTATATAGGAAACTATATGCTCGCACTAGCAAGTACAAAAAGTTAATCATACCCTGCTTAGCTCGTGTTTTGTGCGATAAAGAAAACATTAGGCGTTATACCTCTAACTTAATAAATAGTCAGTAGAACAACTGGATCTCGTCTTTCCACTCGTATCATTTACAGGTACAGCGTCTTCTTTCTTTCTTTTCCTTTTATGTCTGTCTTTTTTTCTGTTATGTGCTGCTTTCTTTCTTTCTCCCTTACTAAATCTATTAAAATATTCTTCTTCGTTCTGTCACACTGTATATCTCGACCTTTTTGTTACCGCTTACGTCAGTAAATATGCCACTATCTGCTTTTCTAGCACCTTCAAACACTCTGTTCAATTTCGACTTTGCTACCGACATGCCAATATGTTGTTGTCATAATGAACTGAGGTTTCCTTAATCTATTTAGAATTTTATTTATTGTTAATGTACTAACTGGATGCAATACTGTAGTAAAATGCCGAGAATTTCATTCTGTATCACAAATACTGTTTTGGAATAAAGCAAATTATTATTATTAATACGGTTATTATGCATTGTATTCACTTTGAATTTGAAAAAGTCGTACATGAAGGAAATGTTTTCAATTATTACATACTCTTGTTATCCCCTTGGGTCCCGAATTGAACATAAGGCTTCAACAGCACATCTCAATTTCATTCTTTTCACTACAGTCCTTTTCCTCTGACTCCACAACTAAGCACAAGCTTCTGTCTCTTCCTCACAAGGTCTCTTCCACATTATCCTTACACCCTTGCTCAACTCGTCGCTTCCCATTTAAGTGCAACTAAAGGGCCTGTCTGGCGCATGATGTTACTCATCGGGCTCCTCACCATGTGTAAGGTCTATCTTCATTTCCTTCAGCATATTTGTTGAGCATTAGAAACTTGGTTGGTTTGCAGCCTGTCAAGAGTAGGCTGTTTTGTTAACGCTTTTGGGGAACTGCTCTGAGGTCTCAGAACCGTGCGGTGGCACTGACTTGACATCAGTTTTGAAATTCGGATCTTATTTCTTATGCTAGTTGCAGCAGATTTCCGAAGGGATTTTAGATTAATGAAGTTCCTTCTTGTTTTTCCTATCCCGGTTGGCTTCGACATCCTTATCTGTGCCGCCTATAGTTGAAGGCAGCGGACTAGATAAGTGAATGTGTGGTGACTTCCTTCAAATTAGAAAGTGATTGGTTCTTGGTGTTTTCGGCAGTTGACTATCTTCACCATAGTTGCTTGAAGTCCCGTCTTCTCTGCTTCTTCAAAAACACTTTAGAAATTTTATAATGTGCGGCTATTATTTCTTCTAATTAACCTATCACTATTATTATTATTTGTGCGTTGAAGTTTCTGTAGCGACATCCAATGCCAATCACCATCAACTGGAGGGATTTGAAATAGGTTACTTCATTCACTTATCTAGGGAGCATGGTCTTAACTACAGGGAGTCGGAAGGCGAGAAACACATTCATCAACCTGAAACCAATCTGGAAATCTTCCTCACTCAACCATCATCAACGACAAAATTCGGTCCGTTTTTCAATATAAACGTCAAGTCAGTCAGTTCTTCTATACGGATCAGAAACTTGGCGGGCGGGCGGATCACAAAGAATATTTCCAACAGCCTGTTGCAGACCAGACCTTTATCAACCAACAACTGTCTTCGCTGGATCTATACTGAAGATCAGATGGCCGGCCGGGTCGGAAAGAATTACCAACAAGAAACTATGGGAACAAACAGAACAAGAACCAATCTCCAACCAACAAATATTCAGGAGAAAGTGGAGATGGATTGGACATTCGCTGAGGAGGCCGCTGGGTGACATCGGGCATCAGTCCATTGCTCGAGTGGAACCAGGCCGAAAGGGAAGCGAGGAGTGGGTCGTCAATGCAAGGGTGATATGGAGGAGATGGTGTGAAGAGGAGTTGAAACAGTATGGACTAAGATGGATGCAGGTGAAAAGTGCAGCAGAAGACAGAAGGGAGTGGAGACGTGCAGTTGAAGCCCTATGTTCCACTAGGAACCCAAGGGAACAATAATAATAATTATTGGTACCTACTAAAATTCCTAACAGATAACATAATTGATCCTTTAGTTGTATATCTGCTTAATGATTCTAGAAACTAAACGCCTGAGAAACGTCAGTCTTGCGAATGAATAAAGCAAAATATTAGTGACATTTCCTATCGCATTTATTCTGCTAATTTTAAACTATCGAAGTGTTAAGAGGCCTTGATTGAATTTTCACTTTTTCTATTGCTAATTGTGAATTTATTTTTTTAAACGTTGGAGGAGGAATATTTTTCTTGACGACATTTTATTTTGTTTTCCTCAAATATTAGTTTGCAAGGATTCGATTGAGTCCAAGACTAATCCCGAACTAACTTCAGTTAAATTACCACTGAAAACCAGGGAACAGTGGGGAACTGTCCCGTGTTCTTGTCTGATACTCTTCATTAGTACACACCATAACCCCACCAACGTTCCAGCCCAGGACCTTTAATTTACAAAACGATCTCGTAGATTATTTAACCAGTGAGACTTTACTTTTGATTAGTACTCATAGCAGAAGACATTTTTTTCCTTCACGTTCCCTAGTGGAACATAGGGCTTCAAGTTAGTGGCTTGAGGTTTCTGTAGTAGTGGTGATTATTCTCACAGGATGGGGTTGCTAGACTCATGCCCAACCTTTCCTCTTTATCAGCATTATTTCTGGCTTAGCGAGGTAAAGGAGTGCGTCTGTGGCCGGGGATCGAGCCTCGGACGATGTGCATGGTCGGTGAGTGTGCTAACCGCTATGCCACCGACGCACTAGAAGACATAGTCAACCGAAATTTATATTACTCTTATACGCTAGCTAGAATTATGTATAT